CCCAACTAAAGCGCACACTGATCACCATAATGGTGGCATCAAACCAAACTATTTTTTGCAATAAATCATCAACATCTTAACCTCTGTTAATTCTCAATAAGAACTTCTGTAGACGTCTGACAGAAATAAAGGCAACCTGGTTAGTAATAAGTGAACCTGGTAATGCTGTTTGTGGAGTTGTTTAATCAGATCTTGAGAGATTTCGTGTATTTTATCTTCAGTTGATTTCATCTAAGGCTGTGGCTGGAAGTAGTTCTTGTGTTTCTCTTTCCTTCAGTGATTCTGCTTGATCAATAATGCATCAATAATGCTCAGTCATTATTCAATCAATTAATTATCTCATTAACTCCAACACAGATATGTGTTACATTTTACAGCCTGTAGTGTGCACACTGAGCAGTGTTCATTTCATCTGGGCAAACCCATGTGGGGCCTACATGGAAACCGTGGACAAAACTGGCTGGGTCCCAGTTAGATAGCCCAGGTCAAACCCATGTGGGCCCCACATGGCTGTGCTGGCTGGGATACCTTAGACTGAGTGGAGATTCCTCCGATTCAACTAATAAAGCACACGTAGGGGTTGTTTTTATAGCTCCTAAAGCAATTCTTACAGCTTTAAATTGAATCTGGCGCGAATCTGACCCTACCAGAACCATCATACTACCAGATCTGGGCGGAGAGTGCGATTAAAGGGGCCATACATGAAAATAAATGTAGCAAGTGGAAGCACATATTTGACCCGTTACACACAAAATCACTTTCACGGACCTTTATCAGTCGCCGTAAGTATCTAATGGACTACTACAACTACTTCCGCGTTCTAGTTAGTACATATCGGGAGTTTCCGGTTAGAGCGTTCAGCGCCCCTACACATGAGAATGCAGATTATCACTGTTTTATGGCTGCCAATTGATTAAAACAATGAATAATGATCTCTGTATTAATTATCTTGAGCCTGCTGAAATGTTCAGTCTTTTCTTTCCAACTGTGCATTCTGAATAATAAATAGGCTAAATATATTTATCCACTAAGCTGCAGCAGTCCTATATGGTCGTCTTCTCATCAACAGTTTTTTTCTCTTTCTGTCATTTCATACCTGTTGGGTTTACATTTTTAATTGAAATTGACTATTAAAAGGATTGCTTTTGTGCGCTGGTGTTTATTCCAGTCTTTTAAAATAGTTGAATGAATGCTCGCGAGGTGCCTGCAACGATGTTAAATAGGCTAGGCTATTTAATCAATAACGTAGCCTACACAGCGTAGAGGAAAATGACAGTCAACTACTTTGAATATTATATCATTTTGGCCATACACATACAGTGAAAAGATTGACATTGAAAAATGACACACAGACACAGAATGATTAAAATATTTAATCCAAATAAATAAATGTTTGTGGTTCGTACTTCATACTGATGTTATTCATTTGTTCTCATACACTTCAGCGTCGCGGTCACTTGTTTAGATGAACACCCTGTGGTGAAATAAAGGCTTATTTTTAACACCCGCTGCTTTCTCAGATCGGCTTGGGTTGGATTAAAACTAAGTTTGGAAAATTCTGCACACAGTAAACATCAGAATATACCTTCTACTGTCATTAAAAATGGGCAAATTTTTAAATCTTATTGCGGACACTCATTTTAGGTGGAGTTTGTTCAACTCATTGACCACAGTACATTGAAAGTAAACATAACCGGAAATAGCCTGAGTGAGATACTATTTCCAAACAGAAGTGGGTCACGAAGCTCAGTGCAAGTGGTTCATTACATTGATAATCTGCCTTACATTCATTAAGAATGTCCGCGGCTTAAATTGCTTTGGATTAAAAGTGTTTTCTAAATTATTAAGTGTAAACGTAAAATGTACTGTAAATTGCACGTTTTTGAAAACAATATCTTTATCGTCTCTCTTTGTAAACAACAAAAACGCGAATTTGTGAAAACGTTGACATCATGTGCATGTCTATTACGTGTTCAGTCTATTGGCCCATAGTGTTTCTTTACAAAGTGACATCGCCAAATACTGGCCTGACAGCAGAATACAGCGTTTTCAGTCGTTTTCACAGATCCTTGTGAACGGGATCTTTTTGACAATGTTGTCGTCTGTGCAAAGGAACCTTTTCCGTTTTTAGTACATCATTGTCGTGTAAACGTAATCTGGCTATGAACACTAAAAAAACAATACTTATAGACCAATTGATATTAATTGATGTCATTTCAACAGGTTCTGATAGGTTAACAGTACAGGTAATTCCAGAAATATCTGAACATGGTGTTTGGTTCTTTACGCAAATGAGGTTATTTAAAGACAATATATGTGACACACTTATTGTCTCAAAGCAACTATCACAAGGGTCACAGGTGAGTTGAAAATCCCGTGAAGGCATTTCTCATCTGGGTGGTTGTTGATTTTTCCTTGCACCTGTTCCTTTGGCATGGTCAATGCCTCTTATATTCTTATATACAACCCTTGCAAACACACTATAGACAAAATAAGGGAGATATCCTTTTCCTTCAACACTGAGTCACAGCATATCACTGGAACAGAACAAAACATCCACACAGAGCAAACTGACCTGATATAAACTTCTACTAAGAAAACTACGATTCTTAAAGAGGGGATAGTAGGCTAAATGACAACGGGGACTGTAAAAACACCCAGGTAAACTGCATTACAACAGTCAAGTCTGGATGAAATAAAAGCATGTACTACAGACTCCAGGTCTTCAAATGACTTCATTTTAGCTATAGAAATGATAATAAAAACATGTATTAATACTTGCACTATCACAGTCTTACAGTACATAGGCTACAACCAAGAAAACTCACCACAATAGATTATGCCAACAACATGGCCAAAAACTGAACAAACATCAGTTTGCACACATACACTGAAAAAAATTTGGAGTAGGATTTACTTGAAAAAAGCTAGGCAACTTTTTTCACTCAGAAAATGCTAGTACATTTACAACGATTTGCCAAGTAAAAACCTAAACATATTTATCAGTAGCTTTAACTAGAAATATTTAAGTTAAGTTTACTTGGAATATGGAATTAAGTAAACTTTACTTAACCTAGTCAAGTGAAAGTAACAAAGAAAATAAGAAATTTTAACTTGGCTAGTAAAAGGTTGAGTAATGTCAATTTAGTTGAAATTTCCTTTGCATTACATTTCACCCAAACAATAATATTGAATTATACCAGTATGTGCTTTACTTAGAACTTCTAAGTAATTTATACTACATCATGTCAGATGTTAAACTTCATGTGAATGCAAAGACCTCAATACTTGTTAGAGAATACACAATGACGGTAACATTTGATGGATCGTTTTTGTGTTTGAATGTGTCATTTTGAGCAGAAAATTTACTCGAAATGTCACAAAATGGCAAGTTACTATAATCCTAACAACAAAAGCAATGATAAAACAGTGTAAATACAGCTGGAAACCAGTGAAAAATCAACCTCATTAATTATTCAAGGTCCAGTGCATGATGGGAACCCCAGTATCAGAAAAGTTGAGTAATTTTTACTTAATTTTATTAAGTTGATATTTACGCTTTCATTTCTACTCGCTTGAATTAAGTACTGATATGGAATTTACTTAGTTTTTTTAATTCTTGCCTGAACTAACTTTTTCATGTAAATTACATTGTTTTTTTTCAGTAGTATTTACTTCACCACAAAATCATTTTTTACAGTGTAAGAGACCCCTAGTGTTCACTTTCAAAAAAGTCTTGAGTATCTTATAATCACAATGTTGCTCTCTTTGACATGTTTTCTGCTGGAATCCCAGAATATGTCACATATGTCTTCACCTAAACATCAATAGACACATAGTGAAACACAATATACGATCTGTGAGAGACGACTACTATAGTAAAGGTCATGAAATACTTTCCTAAAATGATCTTTTCAAATTAGACAACAAATAATGTTTTAGTCTTTAGTTTATAAATGGAAATGATTTTGTGTGGGGTTACGTAGCAAGACATAAGTTTTGTGTATTAGTGACGTGTTCGTTTCTCTCCTCCAATAGCAGGTCTCGGTCCCTAATGTGCACCGATTGGCTGATGACAGGAGAAGCATCATATAAAATAACCCAGAAGGTGAATGGATAGAGTGAGTTGTAGTAGTTGGAAAGGTTGGAAAGGATTTACTGTGATTTAGTTATTATTGAGTGTTAGATTGTGTGAGTGGATGTATTGTGATTTTCTTTCTCCATTTATCTTTGTATTGTTTTCTATTACCAATCATTGTTTTTGTCTACTTTGACATGTAAATAGCTTACTGTAAATTGTGTATATGGCTGTTACTTTCACAAGAGCTGTAGGTTTTTTCTTCATTCTGTCACCTGGAGTTTTGGTTATTTGCCACTGTTGTCTTTGGCTTTTGGCTTGCTTAGTTTGCACTTAATATTCAATAATATTATTGATCTGCCTGCATTGACATCATTATGAGAAATTAACTGAGCTGGACGATGACATCACTGTTTTTTTTCCAGAGCGGCTGTATAGATAAATGAACTAAATTAATAACTTTTTTTTACAACAGAAATGAACCATCACGGAATACTTACTTAAGCTGGACAATGACACTATTTTCTTCTAGAAATTAAATTTCTGTCATCCTTTACTCACTTTCAAACCTATATGACTTTCTTTATTCAGTGAAGCATAAAATAAAATAAATATTGCAAAAAAAAAAGGAAAAGGTTTTTTGGGACCCCATGGATAAAAACTGTTGAAAATATATTTCATGAAATGCATACAGGTTTGAAAGCACATGAGTAATTAAGTGTTTTGGGGTGAACTGCTACATAAGATTGTATTTCAGTGGTATTCACAATGTCCAGATTAGTTCATTTCCTGCTTAAAACAGGACAAAAATGTTCTTATTTGTGTCTCATTCCAGACATGCTTTGTATTTACAGACTCATTAAGGGTTAAATTAACCCAGATTTTTTAATTTTCTCTTTTAATATATTATAAGTAAAATATGTACTGTGTTTAAGGTATGACTGTAGCTGACGTAATTGAGTTCAGTTCTGGTGAAAGTGTCAGTCTGCCCTGTTATAATGCTCTTTCTGGCTGCACATCAACTACATGGAACTATAATAACAAAGATTCAGAGACAGTTGAACTGATTGCTGGAGGGAAAAAGAAGAATGACATAGAGAGACGTGAGAGACTGAGTCTGGGGTCTGACTGCTCTCTGAACATCAAGAAAGTCACACAAGAAGATTATGGGCTTTACACCTGCCGACAATATGTGAATGGACAACAAGGAACTGATGCACCCGTTTATCTGCATGTTCTTCATAGTCAGTGTTTCTGTAATTTCTTAAATAATACCTTAAAACTCATGTGTAATGAAAAGAGTGACGTCTAGTGTGATTTCTGTCTTATTTTCTGTTTCAGTCTCTTCATCATCCTCACAGACTGAGATCAGATCAGGCTCTGTGACTCTCTTCTGTCAGTTGTATTCATATGAAGTCTCTTGTGATACTTTGGTCCGTTCTGAGGAACTTCAGTTGATCTGGGTGAATCAGGCTGGTGTAAGTGTGATGACAGACTCCAGATATCAGATATTATTCTCATTAAAACACTGTATCAGCACTCTGACTACAACACTCCTGAATGAAGATCACAACAGAGAGTTTAGATGTCAGGTTACTCAGAGAAATCAACTGAAGACCTCAGCCACATATACTGTCAAGTATTCAGGTAAATTGTTATTATTTATAATGTTGTTAACTTGTTACTTATTTTTAACTGCAATGATCATCAAGAATAATAAAAAAAGTTATATTCTACAGTATGATGTATCTGAAAATGAATCTTTTACAGCTCCAACAAAGACAATGACTACAGTCACCAGCTCGAAGACAACCCCAACTGTAAATAAACCAGTAACTTCTACACAACCAGGTACATACCATATGTCACTCATGTCACCGACAGTAAAAATAAATAAATAAAATCAACATGAAATTATTATGTGAAAAATGACGCTTTAATCGCGTCAATCCAAAACAATCATGTCTGTGTTTACTAAAAAGCATTTAGTAAACATACAATATACACGTTGTTAGCAAGTGTGTCAGTACTTTTGTTACATTTTTGTTTAAAATGACAGTTATATATAGTAAACGTTCTGCTGTTGTTTTCACTTGGATCTGAGTGTGTCCCTCTATATTGTCTCTCCTCTAGAGATTGTGATTGTTGCTGTTTCTGCTGCATTGGCTCTTCTCCTTCCTGCTGTTATTCTTTGGGTGGTTTGTAAAAAAAGAGGTGGTGAGTTTTAAAATGTAGCTCATATTTTGTGACAACAGACAAAGTCCAAAACATCCAAATAATTTACAGACATCAGTTTTATCATATAAATATTAATTTGGAAAGTGATTATAAAAATGTTGAACTATAGCTTGAACTAGCCTATAGTTTGTGACAATTTGCTCATTTGAAATTTGTGCACTTTTTGAAAATTTGGTCATCATTTACTAACCCTGATGTTCATCCGAACCTGTATGACTTTCTTCTGTGAAATGTAAAAGAAGATATTTTGAGAAACGTGTTTGTCCATACAATGGAAGCAAATGGTAACCAACTGTTTGTTTACCAACATTCTTCAAAATGTCTTATTCTTTTGTGTTTAACATGACATTAGGGTGAGTTAATGATGACAGCATTTTCATTTTGAGGGCAATGAACCATTTAAAAAGACAAATATAATGTTTATGAACTACAGCATTATATTTTTTTTTAGAAAAATTGTCAATCAATTATCAGTCTGCATTAATTAATGACATGCTGTATTTTACTCTTATTTTTTGTGATAATTATTCCTCAGATATAAAAAGAGAGACTAATGACTCTGTGGTAAGTATCATGGCAAAGACCTGTGAGGTTGATCCATGAGCTATTTTTTTTTTTGCATCTATAAGCTTGGACAGACTGTCCAATATGTGTACTGTTTTTACTCACATTAGATAAACACAAGAGCAAAATATCAATTTAGAATATTGTTTCTTGTCTAAAGGTCACAAATATGAATAAATATAATGGAGCCAAGGATACAATCAATATCTCCATTCATCATACTGCCAGTGCCAATCTAAGTGAACCATATGATTCATCTTCAATAAGCAATTCATATCTGTGTATATTTGACAGTGTCTGTAGCCTATATTATCCCTCGTAATGTTAAGTATATACCATAATGTACATTACAATTGTTACACGGCTATTCACCAACACTGCAATGTGGCCTACAAAATCAGGCTAGCAACAAGATGAACACTGCAATGATTAAAGAGGTCATGACATGGATTTCTATTTTTTATTATGTTCCTTGAGGTTCAAGTGTTGAAGTTTTTGGACAAAAAATATATGTATATATGCATAAAAAATATTATTTTCAGTCCTTAATCTGACCAGGTCTAAAATTATCAGTTTTTTTAGGGGCGGCTCCTTTAAGGCTGGTCAGTAAACGGCCACTATTATGATTGGACGTTAACGTTTTAAACTATGAAAATTGTAGGATGTTTTATTGGTACAAAGACCTCAAAAGATCAAGGCAAATTGGATTTCTCATGTCATGACATCTTTAATCTCAAGTCCTCTGAGGCACTTCCATCATTAACTGAGACAAGATGGTGGAAGTTGGATAAAACGAAAAAGTGATATTGATTTTACACAATTGGACACAACAAATGTGTAAATAAACTGAAGAGAAACCTGAAGTGTCCCAACACTCTCTTATGTGTGAAACTACTTTCATACGCCACAGATTCAGGATGCTGGCCTAATTTAAAAGATGTGCTCAATTCTAATTTGAATGTCACATTTGAAATAGCACTGATGTCTTGGGCTTTTTCTGAGAAGCTATTAACATGAAGGCAGCACTATTTCGTGATATTCCCTTTTTTCAATAATGATGAATAAGTTTATTACAAAATAAGAGTAACTTATTTTAGCCATTTCCAGTTTTTCACGAGGTCACAACAAAACACCAAGCAGCAGAGGTGTTTCATTCCTCAATGAATCAGCATTTTGAATAAATCGCTTGAATAAATAATTCAATGACTCACTCACTCAAGTGTGGATATCTGCAGGTAGGAGTAATGAGCATGCCGAAAGTAGGGGGCTTGCAAAAGGTCTTTACAATTGGTAGGGCTAGGAGTTCATTTCTGTTGTAGCATTGTGTAGGCTATCTTTCAGCACGCCATTTTTCCGATCAGCAGTTATCCCTGTCTCGGTCGGACCCGTCACCCCCTATCTGCAAAACGATTTAATGTACAGAATTCAGAGTCACTGAAAAACCCCACCAAACAGACAAGCGAAGTAACACAATCAGTAAAAGTCCTGTTACAAATATGAGATATCCACAAAACCTTTAAGTGAAAATGCCACATGACACAACATATTTTAAAATATTTGCAGCACATATTTCAAACATTTGCAGCACCAGCATAATAATAAGCCTACTTTTCAAAGTAGTGATGGATTTTGTACTTTAGTTCACCATGTTTCCACTGATATTTAGGAGCAGAAAGACGTGACTTATACGGAGATTGCCACATTCAGTAAAAATCAAGGCAAAAATAACAAGGTGGGTAAACACTTCTTTGTACTTTCACCATCTTCTCTCAAAACTGACAATATCTGTGATGTTCATTCAGGTTCATGGTGATGATAAAGTGACTTACGCTTCCATCAGAGGAGCAACAGCTGGACTTCAGGATAACTGCAGTCAACTTTATGCCTCTGTGAACGAGAACCGTCACAAATAACTGAATCAGTTATTAATTATACAAATACCTCATGATGTCATGAGGAGAGAAATGCCTATAATTTACTTTGTTAACCTGTTGACTTGGTAAATACTGTTCCCTTTCAGTCGGTCACGTTCGACGTGGTGTCTCCGTTCCCTCCTTCAGGGAACGAGGGTTACCATATGTAACCGAGATGTTTGTCTTTCCAATCCAATTCTCCGAATTTTACGAGGTGGCTAATTCGTACGAATTCATACGACCTCACTCGTACAAATTCGTACGATTTTTGCTAATTCGTACATATTTTACAAGTTACCAAATTCGTATGAATTCGTACGAATGACCTACCCTGACCCTGCCCTAAACCTACCCATCATGCGGGTTTAGACAAATTGTACGAATTCGTACAAATTGGTTGGGAGATAGCGTTGGTCTTTCACATGTTAACAAACAAACTCAAGTAGGCTAATCATATTTGTAGGACTTTAAGGATTTTTATTTCAGAGTAACTGTGCTTTTTGATCAAGAGAACAGGTTTAAATAATAAATCATTCCAAATCTTCCATTTTCTCTTATTTGTTTTTCACCTTCGTTCTCCAGTAACTGTTTTTAATAGTCATAGGCTACTGTTTTACGTACAACATCCTCCTTTGTGACTAATGCAGAGATGATCGAAAGTGTTCTACTCAGCAGAGCTGTAGAGGAAGCGTGTTGTCAAATTCTGCACTGTCAGCCGATCATATTTCCGGTGATTGCGTACTATGTAGGGTACAAATGGGCTAAAGGCACACCCTAAGAAAATTTTTACTACTCCCATAGTGTATTATTGCATAAAAACAATATGTATGATTTTATTGAACATTGATGAAGCAACAGATTTTGTGTGCAAATAAATCATAAAAGTGGTTTGTTTTGTTTAAAAATCTTACAAATGTAAGAGGTGGCAAGGTGGTCCTTTTACCACACACATTTATTATAATTTTAATTATTGCGCCTTTAGCACCAACAGCAGGGGCGCCTTTTACCCCAAATGCCATGCCAACCCGATCACACTAAATGTGTCTCTATAGCACGCAGTGTGTTTATCGTGCAATATACGCGAAAATGAGGATACACATGGGTTGGTTAGGGTAGGTTCAGGAGTGGTGTGGGGTGTGTGTGTATTATACGTTTGGGTAGAATTAGTGGTGTGGGGTGCGTGTGTATTACACGCAAATGAACTGCGTATCAAATGCACGCGAAAACTGCGTATCATATGCACGTAAATACTAATTTTCACGTATAAATTGCACGATAAAACACGATGCGTGCTATAGAGACGCATTTACGTGAGAACAGGCTGGCCATGCTTTTACTATTCTTCCGTTATTGAAAAATGACGGTTGATTTAATTACCTTGAACAAAACTGAAAACATTAACAAGACCTTTGTCTCAAAATATAATCAATAATATTATATATTCTCATTTGCTACATAGGCCTATATCTACAATAAAAAATAAAAAACCTCAAGTAAATATTAAATCCCAAATAGGTAAACTCAAGCTTTCTCATACAGCATTATACTTATAATTGTACTCTTATAAACCAAACATTCTGGGAAAATGTCCTCAGAAATCAGCATTTTTAAGCTTTTGGACACAGCCTGAGAATGCAAGAGCAAGACTGAAAGTGCAAGTGCTCCCTATAGGAGATTCCACATTCATAGTCAAACGCGGTTGCTATAAAAGTGCAAAATTGCTAAGGTGAATTTGAGGCATCCAGTGGTTTAAAGGAAAATAAAGCCAAAAGCGCCTTTTACCCCGGTGTGCCTTTAGCAGCCCCATGTACCCTGCAGTCAACAAAACTCTCATCACATCAATTACAAAAGTGTCAGATTCAATTCAGTCAAGTGAAACATTTGTCAGAATTTTAAAAAATATTGGATGAACAGAAGCTTCAAAATCTGTTCTGCACGAAAAGTTGAAAGAACTGTAGATGAAGTGGAGGTTCAGTTAAGAAAAGTTTTTTTTCCTCTCGTCATGACAAAGTTAAAGGGCACATCATGATTTTATTGACTTCCATACACACAGCAGGTCTGGTTACAACTTCCTTTTCTCTGTAAAATCATACAGTGTTTGGTGTAGAGATTGCTGGGTTCCTGTGACTCAACAACGAGATGTCTCCAAATATGGACATAACTAAATATGAGAGGACAAACATTTCTGAGAATAAGATACAAATGCAATAATTCATTATAATCAGATAACAAAAGAAGAATAAACAGCTAAGGTGACATTGGGATATTGATAAGTCTTTAATATGCCATTTGTTCTTAAAGGCAGCATTCAAACTCCTTAAGCACATTTACATTTACATTTAGTAATTTAGCAGACGCTTTTATCCAAAGCGAGTCATCGTGAAGAGGCAAAAACAACACAAGAAGTGCTCAAAATACAAAGTGCAGGCATTTCTCAGAGTAAGCCAGACAAGGGAGAATTAAGGGAAAAGGAAAGATTTTGTTTATTATTTTTTATGAGGTTAAGTGCTCACGGAAGAGATGAGAACAGTACAAACATTGGGCACAAAAGTAGGCTACAAACAGTTTTACTTTGCCGTATTCTCTTCTCACCACCAGGCAATGAGTTTGTTTTCATGTGGTAAATTCGAGAAAGATTATCTTGAAAAAAAGGAGTCACTTAAATATTTCTTTATTCTATAAAATAAAATAAATCTTATTGCAATGAAATCTCTTTGTGTCTATTTATTTTATTTTATTTCGTGAATCCTGCCCCTGGGCCATTTTCTTTGATTCGGAGCATCAGACACCGAGGAATGGATGTGGCAGTATCTACTCACACTGCTCTCTTTGCATGTTTTCTGGTGGAATCCGAGAATACGACACATATGTCAGCACCTAAACATCAATGTCACATAAACAAATATGGTACATGAGTAAGACAACTTATCTTGTCATTTATTGTATACAAATGCTAGATTATATAGGCAGTTAATCACCATCATAAATTGGTCTTACCAAATAGACGACAAATAAGAATTAATACTTACATCAGAATAAACAGCCTCTTCTTTGTTATCTGTAAAATGTCACATAATAAAAATATTGAACAGGATATAGCACATCCACATATCTTGAAACTGAAAAGACAAGTTCACTTTTGTTTCTGTTGTCATGAAGTGACTTTTTAATTGGAATTGAGCTGAATTGAAACAACAATCATTTGAATTATTTGGATGTCTCAGAGGAACATTAAGCTAGAAACATTTTTTTTTTATAAATTGTATTGAATCTTTTTTTTACTTTTTTTTTTTTACAGTTACAGCTCCATAGACATGATTTTGTCTCCACAATCATTTGAATATTTCTTCAGCAAAATTCAAAGATTTAAAGTCTCAAGCACACTGACTAACTTGTTTACAGCTAGTTTTCACAAAGTTTGTAATCCACTCCATCTCCCCAGAGAGAAATCAGTTATATTTATAGGGACTGATTTGAGAAGAAAAGTGTATCTGAGAAACAGTGAGGTGAAAAAGACAGTGATTGGTTTAGGGAAGTTTAGTGTGTTTGTAGTTGAGGGCTCCTCAGAGTTTGTGATGTGGACTGGAATCACTGGTGTTGTTGTACCAGCTTGAGCTGTACGGGAAGAGTTTTAGTTCAGATGGATCATACTGCAGAATATTACAATCATTAAAAAAATAAATGTGTTAACCTTAGTTGTCATGATCTCACAACGCACAACCATTTTTATGTCATTTTTTGTTTGTTTGTTTAAATTCTTTTACTTTTTAAAATAAGCTACTATTAGTGTCCATATATTACTATTTTTATAGGGTGATTTTGATTAATAATATATATCGTTCATTGTTAATTTATTTTTTCATAATACATTCATGTCAATTTATACAATGTGAAATGTTAAAAATGTATTATATGTAGAAATTAACATTAACATTAATACATGCTGTAAAAGTATTGCATTGTCAGTTATTGCATTAACTAATGTTAAAGAATTGAACATTATTTTAAAGTATTACCTCAAATTTAACAATTAAAGCACAATATGTTATATATGGTTTTATTTATTTATTGTACACTCTGTTTATCCTGGCTGAAAGATATGAATAGAATTTCTGACATTACTAAAGGCCACCTAAACTTTAGGGCCTACTAAAACTGATAGATGAGATGCATGAGATGCAATATTGTTCCCACCTGAAAACTTGACAGTATATGTGGCTGAGGTCTTCAGTTGATTTCTCTGAGTAACCTGACATCTAAACTCTCTGTTGTGATCTTCATTCAGGAGTGTTGTAGTCAGAGTGCTGATACAGTGTTTTGATGAGAATAATATCTGATATCTGGAGTCTGTCATCACACACACACCAGCCTGATTCACCCAGATCAGCTGAAGTTCCTCAGAACGGACCAAAGTATCACAAGAGAAACAGAAAATAAGACAGAAATTACATGACAGACTTATTTTTTTCAGTAATCTGAGAGTGTAAATGGAGAATTTGGCATTTTTTAAATACAGTTTACATTAATTACCGTGAAGTACATGCAGATAAACATGTCCATCAGTTCCTTGTTGTTGTCGGCAGGTGTAAAGGCCATAATCTTCGTGTGTGACTTTCCTGATGTTCAGAGAGCAGTGAGACCCCAGACTCAGTCTCTCATCTCTCTCTTTCCATGTCTCTAACCTGTCACGGTTCCATATAGTTGATGTGCAGCCAGAAAGATCATTATTACAGGACAGACGGACATTTTCATCAGAGCTGCAGAACACATGAGTCTCTTCTGCTCCACTCGTGCCTCCAACACAGTACATTTGGGTGATCATTATGCTACATATTAATAATAATAATTCATTACATTTATATAGCGCTTTTCTAGGCACTCAAAGCGCTTCACATGGAAGGGGGGAATCTCCTCAACAACCACCAATGTTCAGCATACTTGGATGATGCGACGGCAGCCATAATGCGCCAGAACGCCCACCACACACCAGCTTACTGGTGGAGAGGAGACAG